TTTCCCCTTTTCCTCAGTGGGGAGGAAGAGTTTGAAGTTCAGGACCCCATCTGACACAATCATTACCTTCCAGCACGACCCTCCACCCCCACCCAGCACAGGAGCAAATCTATGGGATGTGTCAGTAAAGGAGCCCTTACCTGCGGAGAGACCGTATTTGATTCTTTGCCTTCAAAATCAGTGTCATTCAGTACAATAATACACACTGTGGTTACACATCATAATGTAAATGATTAGTCAATGGATAGTACCTTTAACCGATCATTTCAACATTAAAACAATGACATAAAGATTCTGTCAATTATCCCATTTATATGTTGCTCAGTTCATTATAATAAATCTGCCTTCCTCTCACTGACTTTCTAAAATGATACACGTGACAAATGCTCAGCCTGCTCAGAACATTTGATCCCAGATGACATTTAAATTTTCTTTCTTGCATATGAATCAACATTTAGCACAAATCAAAGAGTTTACCTGAGGTTCTTTGGCTTCATGGAGCTTTGTGGTAATTACAGAGTCTAAACACGATGGGAAACATTCTCTAATCTGTGTTGATGAAAGAGATCCAAATCTACAATCTCACATTAGATAATTAGGCTTCTATCAGGACTCGTGAGAGTTCGTTAGGGAACCGTGAGACTGCTCTGGTACTGTCAGGTTGCATGTAAACACAACACTTTGCAGTCTTAGGAGATGTTACATCAAACAAACCTCAACTACAAAATTTCATATAACAAGGAAGAAGCACTAAAAGTTGATTTTATCTTAAAAGTGCCAAAAGAAATGTCCACCGAGGCAGTTTAAGCTGTTCCGCTGTTAATTTGAGGAAGAGGGTGCACATCAGTGCTTCATTATTTCTCTTGATTAACATACTGCATCTATAGGTTTTTCTTATCTACATTTCTCCTTTTGCTCCCAAATCAGTTTCTTCTCCTTTTCCCTGTGGTCTCTTTTTGTTAAAGTCCTCCTTCCATTTACTGATTTTCCATTTCTCCTTCACCCTTTCCTCCTCTTTCTCTCAGTCCCTCCTATGTCCTCTCTTTCCTCCCTCTCTGTGCCTCCCCTGTCCTGTTCGTTCTACTCTTCCCTCACTCATTTTACTTCACTTCTTCTCCTCCACTCCTCTCCCCAGCCTCTCGTCTTCTCACTTCAAAGCAGGTCATGGTAACAGCAGGCCATGTATAGAAACCATCATGTTTCTGCTTCAGTGGGACAGGAGGCCAGTCAGCCACGATGACCCAGTCAGTGTTGGGAACCATACATCCCCATTCTCTCTGCTTTTCTCTCCAAAGGGAAATGCAGATGAAACAAGGGAAGCAAAACAGTGTTAACTGATAAAGATCAAAGTGGTAAGCAAGAGGCAGAGAGTTTAGGGATGGTTGGCTAAGTGATTCATATATGGACACTCACCTGTCTGAAAGAGGCGTGGTAAGACAGAAAAAGTGAGTAAGAGTGAAATGGAGACAGAGAACAACAACAGCAAGCTTGATGATGATGATCCACATTCATGTACACAATGCATGTTCTTGATTTAGGGCAGCAATTCTAAAATATTTGCACTGGGAGTCTGAGACTAGCTGCCTGACGTCTGGAGGAGCTCAGGACAGGCAAACATGGAAGTTTTACTGGACTTTTTCAGCCTTTGTGTTTATCGTTTGTCTCCAGCCTAATTTTGTGATTCTGAAATCACATCAAGTGTCCAAGAATCTGGTATCATAAATTTTTGTCTGCAGAGCAAATTTTCTACACAAATCTAAAATGAAAAGTACCACTGGCTTATTTTTTAGTCTGGAGCTCCTGACCTGGACACTGGATCAGCCCCAAACTACACGGAAGGAAGCTTCTTAATGATTTGATGGCAATTACAATCACCAACTGCACTATTGTTAACACACTACACCATAACTAATTAAAATCTTGCAGCAACAACAACAACAACAACATAGACCTACAGGCCCATTTTAAGTTTGCCAGTGAACATGATTCAGAGAAGAGTGGGGAAAACATGCTTTGGTCAAATCAAAACAAAACTGAGCACTCATCAACCCATATTTAGCCCGAGGACGAATTTAGTCGAGTTTCGCTCTGGGATCAAGAGCGAAACTCGACTAACTAAGACTAACTCGACTTATTTCACTCAAATCTTTTTATAACAGTTTTAGGGATTTTTTCTGAATATTTGGTTGATATTCTGTCTTTCTATTGAAATGATACTATAATAATTGAAATAAATCATTTGTCTGTAAGTGAGCAAATTTACAAATTCAGTTCAATTCAACTTAATTTATACATCACTAAATCACAACAACAGCCACCTCAAGGTTCTTTATATTGTAAAGTAGACCCTACAATAATACATTCAGAGAAAAACCCAACAATCATATGACCTCCTATGAGCAAGCACTTTGGCGACAGTGGGAAGGAAAAACTCCCTTTTAACAGGAAGAAACCTCCAACAGAACCAGGCTCAGGGAGGGGCGGCCAT